GCATCGTTGGCAGTACGGTTGAGGGAACCATCTCTTGTGGTCAGTTGAGCTGGCCACCCCAAATTATATATAGCAGCGAGCTAACCGTGTCCAGGTTGTTCATAAAGCTTTACTGGTCATACATACGATGATAAGGACAGGTCATACCGATAATGTTCTCGGCTTTCTATCCAGCTCCAGTAACGACGTTCTCCGACTCCGCCATTTATCTGGTGGCCGTTCTGATGGTAGGCATTTTTTACACTGGAGAGAGGAAACTGGCGATTCAAGCTAACATATGCCAGGTATTTCCTTGACTGAGAATGTAGCGAGCTACGCCAGTTATCTCGAAGCAAGGATCCGTGCCTACCGCGAGTTAAAACATGACATCATTAGGATTCAAAATGAAACGAATAGAGAAGACAGGATGTCTGGAGGAGAGAGTAGCAGACCCGCCAACTCGTCCAATTCATCACGCAATAGGAGCGGTAATGGGAAAAAATTACGACAAATGACGGTGGAAAAAGGACTTCTTAGGGAAACAAAAATTGTTCAGCGTCAAATTGATGCACTTCTGGGGTGCAAAGTGCGTTTCCAATGCTCGGAACTTCTACAATATGCTCATCAACTCTCATAGTTTTTCCTGGACAGCTTGGAGGACGAGCTTACATTAACGACATTAAGATTAATGGTGAAGGACCTCTTGATATTGTTCCAAGCCGGCAATGAGGGGGTGATCAACGTTCTCGGTGAGTCCATTCTTTCGACATGCGATTGAGTTATCTAAACCCAGGCCATTCAGAACAATATTTCGAAATGTCACGTCCGGATGCTGAGGAGAGCCTGAGTATCTATAAATCGTTCTGCACTCAAACTGAAGGTGTGGTTGAATATCTGAGCATTGCTCGAAAGCTATCCAATCTCCTCAACGTTCCAGTGCCTAATCTACGACATGTGAGTCCTAAATTCACCTATATATCACTTACTCATAGATCCTTTCATGAAGGCTCCCACCCGCCTTGCCGGCGCACTGGAGGAATATCTTAAGGACGCGAATTTCGAGCAGAATCGGATAGAATATAAGACAAATAAAGCATTAGCTGACGGTAAGATACCGAATAAGTCCAAATCTCAGACACGTGCGTGTACCCATTGTTTTCGATTAAGCGACCTTCTGATCAATGAAATAGAAACCGCCACCTCAACTGAACCAGCTGCGTCACCCGAACCAAGCAGTTCAACTGCAACGAAGCCCCGACCCGCTTCTCTCAAACCAACCATGGATCTCCTCGAGTCAATTGAGGAGAACCAACCCACTATGTTCAATCCCCAGACTGGTAGCCCATCTACCTCTTGGTTCCATCAGCAGCAAGAGGCTCAAGCTCAAGCGGTTTACAATCCTTTCCGACAATCTGTCATGGTACCTCAAATGACTGGAATGCCAACGCAGCCATTTATGACTGCTCAACCCACTGGATTCCCAATGCAAAGTGCCTCGCCTTTTGCACAGGCTGTGCAACCTCAGATGACGGGAATGCCATTCCAAACACCAACGAATCCTTTCCCCCAGGTAGTCAACAATCCCATGGGGCAACCAAATAACTTGCCTGCCATGCCTTTCCAACAACCCTTCCAAACAGGGCTGGTTCAGCCTCAGCCTACTGGATTCTTGCAACCTCAACCCACTGGATTCTTGCAACCTCAACCCACTGGGTCAAATCCATTCCGTCAAAGTATATTGATGCCACAAGCGACCGGAATTCCTTCTGGTCAGATACCAGCCCTTCCTCAGCCTCAGCCGCGTAGTGCATCTGCACTGACATTCTCGGTGCCATCCAACAATACGACAGACCAACCTAAATCTGAATCTCCGTTTGCTGCTGCGCTTATCAACAGACCCGCCTCCACACCCATCACCGGAGCGAGCAATACACAGACTTTGAAACCTGTCGTATCACATGTAACCGGATCCAGGAATCCATTTGGGCAACCAAAGCCGGCTTCACCCCCGCCGTTACCCAAGCAGCCAACTCTCGCAGAGCTGGCCTTCGGTGCAGCTGGCCAAGCACAAATGCAGGCTATGCCTACTGGTATTCATGTAGGCTCTACAAACCAGGACCAAAATATTACGCCTTCATTCTTTGGCACGCAACCGTTCTCAGCGCGCTTGGCCACAGCCATCGGGGACAATGGAACACCCAGTCCGGCAAATACAAACATGTCCTCTGTTGCATCTTCGTTTGCGGTTGGTGCCGATCCTAATAAGGCAATGTCACCACCTCCGTCCATATCTAATCTTTCCCAGGTCACTCCTCAGTTCACTGCCCAAACTGTAACGTCGACTTCCGCGCTCTCAGATTCGTTTTCTACTCTGTCCTTTGGCACTACGACAACGGGAACGAATCCATCCTCTGTTGGGACCGCCCCGCTACAGCCTCAAGCCACTGGTTTTGCTGGATTGAAGCCATTCAAGCCCACGTCATCATTTGGTGCATCTCTGTTGGAATCGTTGCCGACCACTCCATCGACAACAAATCCGAGTCCAATTGTACCTACCGGATCAGTCAGCGGTACTGGGCTTTCTACTCTGAATATTCCAAGCGTTTCGAACTCTACCGCATCATCACCAGGCGGGTCGTTAGTAGGTCAACCAACAGGGCTCCCATCCTTTTCTACTACATTGGGGCAGAGTCCTGGAGCGAGCTTGTTCTCGGCCGCAGGACCCAACGCCGCAACAAATGCCACGGGCACTAATGTTGCCACAAATGGAGCCCTCAATACTGTTGGCGTTGGATTGAGACCGCAAATGACGGGTGGCATAAATCCCTTCCGTGCATCTATGGCCGGAGGGACTTCGTCACCCCCTCCTGGCGGTTTGCAACCTCAGCTTACGGGTCTTCCAGCCCCATTCACACCCACTTCATCCTTTGGGGCAAGTCTATTTGCGAATAATAATCCTGCCTTCCGACCCACTCTAGCCACAATACCATCCTTTACTGGCGCTTTCCCGAACCCAACCCAAGGTCAACCGCAGTCGCAGCCACAACAGCAGCAACAAAGCACATCACTCATTTAGCCGATAGGATATTCTTTAGGTCACTCCTTATTGATCATGGACATTCACTTTCGTTTTAGTTTCTAATTATTTATGACGATAGCCGCGAGCTTTCTCTTTGCATGCGTATCATGTATCTTCATTAGCAAAATAGCTTGCAAAATATTTCTTCTTTACTATCTTACAAGATCTCCATTTAACCGTGGTTTTTTTGAGAAAATTATTGACCCGAGCTCTGCATACAGGTGGTACCATGTCCATTAAATACAAACCTCAATTAGAGTCTGCATTGGCTACAACTCGGGTCTAGCACATATAAGTTCAGTTAACCAACGTACTTGACCTATTACTTTGGGATTACATTCCAACAACTCTCGAAAATTTCTGCAATGTGGTGACACCTTATATTCACCGATCGACGACACAAAGAAGAAAAGGATCAAGAGGTGAATTTTATGTGGTACAAACTATTATCCTGGATCAGCAGTGGGGTTGGCTGCGAATCATGACTGCATCACCAGTGACGTCCACTTGGCAATCGAGCCCAATAAAAGACCTACAACAACGACTCAAGAATAATTCTCTTGAATGTTCCTTCCCTCTCGATTTATCCCAAGAGCTACTGCTTTTCGATTTTGTCGTCAAATTACTACATAAACCCACCAAGTTAGTAAAATCCGACACAAGAAATAATTCTAATGTACTTTGTACGCAGTGATGACCTCTTGTTGACTCATTCTT